TAGTAGTAGTAGTAGTAGTAGATGCGGACCCGCTAGGCAAGTTACCCTAAACCTTAAAAGTGGCGAGGCATTCTTCGCAACTCGGATGTATGCCCCGGGAGCCAGCGACAGCGTCTTGTCCCGAAAGGAACTCGGAGAACCTCGAGTTTGAGCTGGGTATTGGGGTTTAGAGTTTAGGGTTTTGGGGTTCAGGGGCTGGGGATTCCGGGTTTAGGGTTTAGGGGCTGAGGGTTTAGGTTGTTGGGGATTTCGGGTTTAGGGAGGAGCCAGATTCAGAAGCCTTGGCACTAAGCTCCAAAATCGCAGGATTCGTATACAGAGCCTTAATAAAAATCCAGGGTTTCTTAAACAGGTTCCGAGATTAATACAGAACTTGTGCCATTAGAATTCCTTAGCCGCCTCAGAGTTCCTTGTCATAAGATCTCACTATAGCATACGCCTAAATCCTACTCGAATTATTGAGGCCCATACATCTTGGGGCGGCTTCTTTGCTAAGCTATTACCACAGGGGCCCTTGTGAATGAAGCTCAAGCCCTCACAGCAACCAAAACCTTAAAGCCCTGAGCTCTACATTCCTATTCCAGGGATGAATAGTTTAGATACTACAAGGGCTCTAGAGTTGAGTGTAAGCCCTACGCCCCAAGCCCTGAACCTTGAAACCCTAAACCCTAAATCGGAACCCGGTAGCCTCAACATCCCAGGCTCCAAGCCCACGCCTTTGCCCTCTGCGCTGCGTGCGGTGCGCTTCGTCGGAGCCCGGCTGCGGGATGCTAAGGCCTCGCAAAGAGTGCGGGGTTCTTAGAAGAGGCTCTACAAGGGTTCTGGGGTTTTAACATCGGAGCCCCGGAGAGTTTAGTGGTTGGGGTGCGATTCTAAACGGGGCTGGGCGGGACTTTAGGGGGGCGGCCTGGGGGCTGATGAGGGTATACCAAAGTCTGTGCTAAGCATTACTGTAGGAGCGTCGATAGGGTTGTGGTTTAGGGGGTTCAGGGCCTGACGGTTTGCTTATATAGCTTTCTAGTCGTGGTCGCAGCAACTCCCCAAACCCATTCCAGCTTCCTCTTCCCCTTTGATGTGTATGTTCATACAGAAGCCTAAATAAATACCAATGCAATATGACTGTGCGGGTTCCTTATTATGAATATACTATGTAAAGGAGCCCACAACCCCATTCTATTTATTAAGGCCCCTACATTACTCTAGTTTCCTCAGTCTGCCAGCAGATGCCATGACGAGAAACATGCCTGCGTCTTTGCACTGAGACCTTCAAGCCTTAAGCCCTGAAGTTTGATAAGACGAGTATATTATAGTATACTATAGTACCTGATAGTACATGATTATAACATTACAGTATGTTTCGATTACTACCATGCATAAGCCCTCGCATCCAGGCATTTAGAGGGAAACTCATTTAAGAGGAGCGCGGGGCAACCGCGAAACACGACACCTCGTCCGCGGCCGGTTTCGAGCGCTTTTCGGAAATCGGTAGCCTTCACACAGTCCCGCGAACCATACCCGGAAGCATAGGTGCCCCAAAGCATGCCCCTGAGACACACGCGTGGGCGCGAGGACGCTTTTGAGACCCTATGCCCCTGTAATGACCCCTCCACCGCCCAACAAAAGTCAACAAGAAAGCTTGCGCCGTAAAAAGCTACACCCTAATTAAACCCGAACCCTAAACCCCTAGACCCTTAAACCCTTTTAAAGCCTTAAAGCCTCAAAGCCCTAAACCCTAAAATCCTTAAACCCCTAAACCCCTAAAGCCCTGAAACCCCTAAACCCTAAAGCCTTATAAAACCCTAAACCCTAAAACCCTAAACCCTAAACCCCTAAAGCCCTGAAACCCCTAAACCCTAAAGCCTTATAAAACCCTAAAAGCCCCAAAAGCCCTAGCTCCTGGAGCCCTCCCTGTAACCGGCAGGCTAACCTGGAGTCTTTCGGCGTGGACGCCGTGGAAATGCAGCTCCAGGCAGCGTGTTTCCTTGTCGGCTTTGGGGCTCGTTTTGGGGGTTTAGGGTTTGGGCTTCAGGGTTTAGGGTTTGTTTAGGGTTTAGGGTTTGGGGGATTCTTAGGGTTTGGGGTTTGGGCTTTAGGGTTTTGAGGTTTCGAGCTTTAGGTTAGGGGTTTAGGGTTCAGGGTGTGTGGGTTGAAGGTTTGGAGTTTAGGGAGCTTTTCATTGGTGGTTCGGCTGTGCAGAGCTTGGGTCAGTTTGCATGCGGCCGTCTCGGAAATTTCGTTGAGTTTGGCTTCGACGGCCGAGGTCATGAGGTGTGTGGCCGGAGCCCTGCTCAGCGGACCGCACGTGGACCCTGGCCTGAAATTACGTGGGTTGCGAAGAGTGGTGGACGTGTGGGGGGTGGTGTTAGTGGTGGTAGTAGTGTGAAGCCGAGACCGTCTAGGGCACACGCTGCAGGGAGCCAATTCCCGCACACCTCCAGAAAGCTATGACCCCCTTGTTAAGAAGCCTGTCTCCCATCAATATGGATTATAACCCTGGAAGACTTTCGTGAAAGCCGGCGGAAGCTGAGAACGGTCATTGTTTAGGCTTTAGGGTTTAGGCTTTGGGGTTTAGGGTTTAGGGTTGAGGGTGCCCTACATCCGAAAGGAAGACGATGGTTGGCTCTCCACCCCAAACCCCGAAGGTCCAGAATCCCACCAAGGAGGCCAAGGCAATGACGGAAGCTTTAGCGGCCGGCTTGGTCGTGGCTGCGGAAGGCTTTGGCAGGGTGTGGGGTCTGGTTGAATGCTTGTCTTCTGCGGATGACTGCTAACAGTGATATTCGGTTTTTGCTTGTCGATACGGTAGAATAGTAGTCCGTGCTCTCCTTGCAGACGCTCGCATAGTGATCGCCACTCCTTCCGTTGGTTATCGGTTATCGCCCAATCAACAGCCCGAAACGGTGGTCACCTCGTTTGAACCCCCCTCACTTCCAGCAAGCCCAAACCCGAATCTGCATCTTAAGTTCGGAGCCGAAAGCCTCATATGCAGCTCTCTTATGGTAGGCCATACAGCCCTTGCGGTTACTACAGAGGCCTCCAAGTCCAAAGCCCTGAAGTTGCGAAGGCGGACCCCCCTTCGACTGGGCCGGGGAGAAGGCCCGGACTGGTCGGGTTTCCGAAGATGCCTGGGGAGAATGAGTCATTAGGGTTTAGGGTTTAGGGTTTAGGGTTTAGGGTTTAGTATTAGAGCTAGCATTAGTATGAGTACTCGTTATTGGAATTCATATGAGAATTAGGATTAGTAGTTGTATTAGAAATAGACTTTAAGATGCAATATAGCATTTGCATGAGAATTAGAATCAATATCAGTACAAGTATTTGTATTTGTATTACTATTCGGGGTAGTATTGGTATTGGTACTGGCATCCGTATTCGTATTCGCGTCAGTATTGGTACTAGTATTTCGTATCAGGATCCGTGAAGCCCTTTCAACCAGGGTGGACCCTAAACCCTAAACCCTAAACCCTAAACCCTAAACCCTAAACCCTTTTTAGTTCAGGCGTCAGGGTTTAGGGGACCCGAAGGGCCCTCATCGCCCCCGGAAGCCCTATGCGGTTCAACTTATTGAGCCCTGAACCCCAAACCCTTAGGGTTTAGGGTTTAGGGTTTAGGGTTTAGGGTTAAACCATGAAGCCTAAACCCTAAACCCTCATGAACCCTAAACCCTGAACTCCGAACCCTCAACCCCAAGCCCTAAGCCTTAAACCCCTGACGTATGGCAACCAACACCCCTGCTGGATACCATCAGTCTTCTTGGCACCAGAGTATTGAAGCCGACACCTCTCTTAGAGGATGATCATCGGTCTTCTTCCTCTCGTGGCTTTGACTGTTCATATTATTGCTCTTTCAGCGACCTACAACTTCGGATTCTTCCTCATCTTACGCCACTTCCTCTCCACTAGCTTTTTCCTGAACCCGAAGCCCCTTATCATTGCTCTTATGCTTGGTCCTCTGATGTTTCTTGTGGTGGTAGTCATCAGCCCGAAGACTGCAAACGCTCTAAATCAAGGGCCCGTCTCAAAAACATGTGCAGGAATACGGCTTGCTTAAGGACCCTCAACTGCAAACCCGAAGAGACCCTAAACCCCTAAACCCTAAACCCCAAACCTAAACCCTAAACCCTAAGCCCTAAGCCCTACAGTTGCGAGGTGGAAAAGGGCCTTCAAAAAAAAACCCTAAGCCTTAAACCCTAAACCCTAACCTGAAGAGGTTCCTGCTTACGGACCCCAGACCCTACACCCAAAGCTTATAAAACCTAAACCCTAAACCCTAAACTCCCTAAACCCTAAACCCAAGCCCCAAAACCCTAAAACCTAAAGCGTCAGAGGCCCCCGACCTCCGCGAAGCCACCCGGGCGCTGCTTTGCGACTGGTCGCCGGCCACAACGGCCCAGGCAGCCACGGCGCTCCTGCACCTCGGCTTCAGGGCTCAATATAGGGGCATACCTAACACCAATACTACTCTGGGGGCTCCGTATTATAATTATAGGGTTTCGGCCCCCGAAACCTTATTCTAATTATTAAGGCCCGTATATTAGCAGCCTTCATCCCTATAGTTAAGTTCTGGATCGCTCAAAGCTAACTCGTAAGTCCATAGACTCGGAGCCCTAAGCCATCTAGAACCCATGGAACCATACTCCCCTGGGGTTTAGGGTTTAGGGTTCCCTGTCAAGCTCCTCTTCAGCAATTCTACCTCCCCTACGCAGCCTGCATAAAGCTCTTCAGGTCAACATTGAACCCAAAACCCTTCAAGGGTTCCTTCCCTCAATGAATATATAGGAGTCTCAATAATTGCCAATATTATTCCTTTGGGTCCCTTACTATGTCTATAGCATTCAGGAACCCAAAACCCTATTTCTGATTATTAAGACCCTTACCTTTGCCCTTACAACAGCCACAACCCTAAAGGAGGGAGATCCATGCTCCCGGCCGACCGTCTGCAGAAGCGGGTCGGGAATTCGCGCAGGACTGCCCCAGGGTTTGGGGATTAGGGCTGAGGGTTTCGGGCTCAGGGTTCAGGGTTTAGAGTTTTTGGCTCAGGGTTTCGGGTTTAGGGTTTAGAGCTTAGGGCTCAGGGTTTCGGGTTTAGGGTTTAGAGTTTAGGGCTCAGGCTTTGGAGTTTAGGGTTTGGGCTTTGAGGTTCGGCCTTGGATGTTTGGGCTTTGACTTGGTCAGAGTCACGGCTGCCGGTGGTGGTGGTGGCTGCTGTAGCTGTAGCTGTCTTTCTAAGTGTGGTAGTGGTAGTGGTGGTAGTAGTACTTGGAGGATCATGGGACTTAGTAACTAGGGTTATAAATAAGGCAACTATACTTATAAATAGTTATAAGCCCAATTAAGGTAGTTATAACTAAGTCCCATGATCCTCCAAGTAGCAGCTCCTCCTGCTGTTGCTGATGCCAATACTACTCACAGTTCTCGGCATCCACTGGGATTGCATCCTGAGCCCCGTGTGTCATGTGGGTAGTGCTCCAAATTAGGGTTCCCAGAAGGGTCCGTTGATAACAGTGCCGTACCATTCTTGGGACCTGTTTTATAAACAGTGACCTTAACATACAGACCTACCCATGTCCAGGATAGCATTGATGAGGCAGCTCAACTGCGCGGCATGGCTTACCTGGTCCAGCTGGGGATTGTTGTTACTAGTCTTTTTTTTTTTACGGTTTTGTGTCGCAATATGAATTTGAAAGCAGCCTGTGTCGGCTATAAGCACCTTGAATCTAGCTTCGGAGTTGGGTCTAGCTTCATAGGGTTTGTGGTGTGGGTTGCGGACTGCGGAGATCTTTGCATTTGGGTTTTACAGTTTCGGTTTTTGCAAGCCCCGATCCATCAACCCCGAACCCAGCACCCCACACCCCTTCATGAGAAACATACCCCTGAAGCCCTGAGCCCGTCCGAACGCCGCTCCTGCACAGACCTCTAGTAGTAGGACCCTCATCATAAAAAGCCGCGCTTGCGGAGGGACCCTCAAAGAGAAATTCCAAAAAGGGAGCCCCCAAAAAAGAACCCCCAAAATGGCCCAAGCACCGAACTCATCCAAAGACCCACAAAAGGGACCCTGAAATAGGGGCACCCTAAACAAGGGAACCCCTCGACCCAAAACCCCTAAAC